AAAAAAATTTTAATAGTAATCTATTATTAATTTCAGCTCCTCTTGTTAATAATAAAATTGTTGAAAAAAATGATCTTTGCATTAAAGCGGCAGACATTTTGAACCAAAAATATGGTATAATATTAAAGAAAGAATGTTTTTTGTAGATTTTTTTTTAATTTTTAAAATCTTTTTTAAGTTCATTCATATTAAAAAATTTTTTTTTAAGAAATTAGTCGCCTAAAGTTGCCAAAACAACTGCAGCAAAAATTTAGAAAAGGACATATCCCTTACAAGAAGTATGTTCCTGATGTTATTAGTGCACAGGGTTTTCCTGAAGGACAAGTCTTAAAATATCCATCATCAATGGGAAAAAGCTTATTAGCTAGTATTGTTGAAAACCCAAATAAAATTGAAATCAATTTTGATTTAGAGAGTGAGTTTTACTTAAAACATAATATAAATTATAAATTAAAAGTAGTTTTTTTTGCTGAATTAATAAATTAACTATATTTTCTAGTGACTTTTATTAAAATTTATTTTTTGTTTGAAATTTGCAAAAAAAAAAAAAAAAGTTAAGTAATATTGTTGAGATATTAACACAATTAATTTCTGTTTTAAAGATTTGTTGCGCATGGAATCTATCTGTTCAACTAGTACGGATGACATTTTTTTTTGTATTCATACTTTTCCAAAGTACTAGATATTTTTCTAATTTTTATTCAGTGTTTTTTTTTTTTTAATTTATTTATAATATTACTGCTTCAATTTTATTAGCAACAGTAGAGAATAACCAATCATTGACGCCATCTTCTTTGATAAATGCAGAAGCATCTTCGAAAGATATAGGTACTACATTTATTGCAAAATTCATGCTAAGCTAGTATATTTGTGAAAAGGCGATGATAGATGTTTTTCAAACTTAATTTCTTTCTTTTGTTTTATAAAAAAATTATTTTTATAAATGTTCTTTTTTAGATTTTGATATTCAACCTCTTAGAATATTGCACTCAAATAAGACAGAATCATTTTTTTCAAATAGTTAGTCAATTTTATAAACAGTTGTAACTAATTACACTTTATGATTGATCACTGCGTACCATAAAGACCATCAGGCTCACTTCTCCCCACCTTTAATTGTTTTTTTTATATAAAGATAAATACTGCTTAAATATGTTATTTTTTTGTATCGAATGAATCGAATGTAGATCAGAAGTACCAAATAAACTTGTTTTCTTAACCCCCTTTCCCCCCTTAAGGTGATAAAGTTACCCCCTTAAAGGTTATAATAACCCCTTAAATATTTCTCAAATCAATATCCTTTTGTATTCTCCTTAAAGTTTTATAATATAACCTTTATAATTCTAACTTTACCCTGACTTAAAAACTAACTCTTCTGATCGACTTTGGTTTGCACTTGAAAAACACTTACAAACTAAATTTTTTTTTTTTATGGCTCACCGTGTGACATTTTGATAAAAGTTTAAGAGAACAGTAACAAGTAGACAAACAAGGTTTTAATATAATTTTTATTTTGTTTACTTTAGATGAAGTTACAATGAAATCAAATGAAGTTAATGTGGATCGCAAACTTATTTGTTTAGGGGATCTTTCATCCATTGAACTAAGTAACAATTTTTTATATATTTGAGATTAGAGAGTATTACATCATCATTTGTATTAGCTCAGAAAGAGAATTTTTTATATATTTGAGATTAGAGAGTATTACATCATCATTTGATAGCTCAGAAAACATTCACCAGTTACCATTTTATATATCGCGTCAATCTACATAAAAAACATCCTTTAAAACATTTTTTTTTATATACTTTTTCGGATACATGCTATCTAATATGATGTTATACCTTGATATAATCATCTCCTTTTGATTTAGTATATAATGCTTTACAGAATGATTTCACAGAAACATATCCATCTAGGAACAAGGCTTCCATCAAATCCATCAACTCATAGCTAAATGCTGCAGATGGATTTACAGGAGAACTAGGCCAGAAACTTTTCTCCAGCAAAATATCCACAATATTAGATGAACATAAACATTCAGCGACCAATGACTGATGTTGTCTACCTATTGCAATTTTTTTAAATAATAAAATTAATCCCAAATTTTTTCAGGAAACCAAAAATATATTTTCTTTTTATAATAAAAAAAACCCTTGCGGGTTCTCGCTAAATCATGTATGTATATATGTATGTTTTTTAATGTATATAAAAATATATATATATATATATATATATATATATATATATATATGTATATATATATATATATATATATATATATATATATATATATATATATATATATATATATATATATTATATATATATATATATATATATATATATATATATATATATATATATATATGTATATATATATATATATATATATAATATATATATATATATATATATATATATATATATATATATATATATATATATATATATATATATATATATATATATATATATATATATATATATATATATGTATATATATATATATATATATATATATATATATATATATATATATATATATATATATATATATATATATATATATAATATATATATATATATATATATATATATATATATATATATATATACATTGTTCAAAAGTCAGCCTTTTCGGTCTCAGCAAAGAAATGCCTTGAGGTCTGTACCTCAAAAGTTCCATTCACCTCGGCAGCATTTAAAAAAGTGAATTTAAATTTTACTTTTTTTATAACTATTTTTTTTATAATTTCTTGAATTAAATTGAATGAAAAATTCTTTGTATTACACAATATTCAATATTACTTAAATATTATACAATATTCGGTTAAAAAAAAGATTTATTAAATTAACAAAATATTTTTTATGAAAATTAATTTTGCTTGTGCACTTTTTTGCTGTAGCAATATATATATATATATATATATATATATATATATATATATATATATATATATATATATATATATATATATATATATATATATATATATATATATATATATATACATATATATATTGAAAATATAATTTATTGAAATTATTTAAATAAGTTAAAAATAAAGTAAACATAGTACCTGAATAATCAAAGACAATCAATTCTTTGTTCAAAGAATTTACACATTTACAAGAAGAGGACTTGATGACTCGCATTGCACAGTTATATTGCTTAAAATACCCAACCTTGATTAAAAGTCAAGATAACTGGTTTAATTCTTTTAACTTTAATATGGTTAGAAACAATTTTAAATTAGAAATTCTAACAAATTTAAAAAATATTAGAATTAAAAATTTAAATTCAAGAATATATTACATACCTGTGAACACCAAACACGAGCTTTATGAAAAAGAGAAAGTTTTTGGTGATAATGCTCCAAACACTCACGGCAATACCAAATAAAAGAACAATCCGGACACTGTATTAATTGATCTATAGAGTCATCCTTATCACACATACAACAAGGTATGTCTAACAAAGGTTCAGTATTTTTTCCAGTTTCATTATCAGTTCATCTTGTTGCTAACAGTGATACAGATGAACTTTGCAACTTTAAAGCTATTGCTTGTTTTTTTAATGCACACCAATTTTCTGCCTTTTTCCTCGTAATATCATTATATGGAGGCTGTAATCTCTTATAAAATGATTGTTTGATAACTATATTATTATCGTAGTTCTGAGAGCTGCTGGTAGACACCTCATCGTCATCAACATCTGTTAATACATACATGTATATATATATATATATATATATATAAATATATATATATATATATATATATATATATATATATATATATATATATATATATATATATATATATATATATATATATATATATATATATATATATATATATATATATATATATATATATATATACATACATACATTAAGCCACTGCCAGCAGCAAGATTTAATAAGAGTCACCCTGGGATTTGTTCTTATACTATAAATATATAGACTTAAAAAAAAATAAACGTGCAAAAGTTCATAATCATTTAGGGATATCAATTTAAGTAAATTTATGATCACATAATTTAAGGACGAGGGGCGTTATAATTTATAATATCGAAACTTAGTAAAATGTTAAAATTAGAATAACTAAGTCATATTTTTCGGTAATTTTTGTTTTAACTGGGTTGTTGTTTTTTTATACCTTTTGTTTTACACTAGAAATAATGTTTTATATGAACAAACTATTATTATACATAACTTATGTATTTAGTACTTTTTCAATAACTTGTTAGCTTTAAAGAATAAATGTGTTTGCAGTTTATTTTTGTTTACACTTTTGATCGATGCAAAAGTTATTATTTATTTAAAAAAAAAATTTTCCTGTTGAATTAATTAATTTGAAATGTACATAAATTATATAACTTTATAAAGGTATATAATTTATATATATATATATATATATATATATATATATATATATATATATATATATATATATATATATATATATATATATATATATATATATATAAAGAAAATGCCTAATACAATAAAAAGTTTGAGAACTCGTAATGAAAACAAGAGATATGCTGGTTTGCCATCTGATCTTCCAGTTAGTGATCTTCCAACTTATAGGCAAGTGGTTCAATATTCCTACTTTATTTTAAAAAACATAAACAGTGTCAGAAATATTAATTCTCCAAAAATTGTTTCAAAAGTTGCCAGTGACCTTATTGATCTGTGGATTAGAGTAAATCCTAAGCTGCCTCTGATACACGAGAAGTCAGTAACCAAAAAATGTTTTAGACTTTTCATCAAAGTTTTGTCTGCAGAAGGCAAATTCAAAAATTCAAATAAAAACAAGGAGTATCTTGATTGCAATTTTGAGCGTTTATTTGATTTGTCATCATGTAATTGTGGACTTCCAGTAATAGCTTGCAATGATAAGTAAGAAAGGCCTATTTTTATTTTAAAATATTTATTATTATAAAACAAAAATCAATATTATTAAACAGTTTCATGGTTTGCAGTTCTAGTTTTCATTTAAGTTTATTTTGTAGATAAATAAATTATGTTTTGAACATTTTTATAGATCTGTGAAGTGTAGGAACCAACCAGATTGTAAGACAACACATTTTTGCTTGTTTCTGTGAAGTTAACAAAAAGGTAAATAAGTTGAAATTATAAAGTTACTTTAATTTAAATCTATAGTTTGTTAAACAAGTAATCAGAATCAAAAGCTTTTCAGAAAAATAACGTAATTAATTTTCTTTGACTTTGGCAACAAATCATTTTGTTATATATATTATTAAGAAACGCATCATTGTAATATAATACAAGAATATATTATATATTGTTTTTTTACTTGACTCCATGTCTTTGTAGTATACAATATATTTGTTTTTAATTGACTTAATGTAAAGTAATTGTTAAAAAGCTCTTATACATATTATAATTTTTATGTTTTGCAATTAAAAAAAGTTTTACATTTTCAGGTACCACTATTAGATAGAGAATATTTGAAGGATCAAAAATTGAAAATTGGAACTATTGGAAGATTTCAAATTGGTACGATTGATAAAAAAGCAGTTGCCATCGAAAAAAGAAAGCGAGACCGTGAAATTAATCAGCAGATAAAATCTGCTAACTCACTTGCTCCAGAAATTCAATGTGATCATTATATGGATTGTGATTTAGATAATAAAAATGACTCAGAAACAGATCCTGACTATTCGATAACTGCACCAGCTGAAAGAAATCAAACTTATTTAACAAACTTGGCAAAAGCCGCTATTAGGTATGAAATAAGCGATGTTGCAACAGCTGCATTGGCAACAGCTGTATTAATTGACTATGGAATTGTTAAAAAAAGTAATAAAGCACAAATAATAACAGAAAAAAAAATTTTTGGGGAAAAAAAAAGAATCAGCAGTATTATAAGCTCTAAACATTTAGCTGACGTTAAAGAATTAGAGGTTATTGGAGTTGATGGAAAAAAGAACAAGTTTACATTGACACATTCTATCAGGTATAACAGTAATGGAGATCCAGTTGTTGTTGCTGCAATCAAAGAAGAATACCATCTAACGTTTACAGCAGAGAGTGGACCCACATCACAAAGTTATTTGACTCATGTAGTTATACCTAATGGAATTGGTGCAACCATGGCAAATGCTACTGCTAATGTTTTGTTGGAATTTAACAGTGTTCAGAGTTTAATTGCGGTTATTTTAGATAATACAAGTTCAAATACAGGTTGCGATAGTGGTTTGGTTGTTAAACTTGAAAAAATTATAAACAAAAACTTACACCTTTTAGGATGTTTGCTGCATCAAAATGAACTTCCACTGCGACATATCATATCAGAATTAGATGGAAAGACAGTTAGTCCTAATTCTTTCAAAGGGCCAATTGGGGAGGCTGCATCTAACCTAACACTTCATGAACAGCCATTGTTTCAATTTGTACCCATAAAGTCAGAGGTAGAGTTATTTGTTAGCAAAGAGATTATAAGTGATCTTAGTACAGACCAGCGCAAACTCTATGAGTATTGCGTTGGTATTTCAAAAGGTTTCATTTCTGAAAGGTTTGTTTCAAAAAAAACCAGGACCAGTTTGCCATGCCAGATGGCTAACTTTAGCACTCAGAATTATGATGTTATATGTTAGGACTAAGGAGCCATCTCTTGAGCTATTAGCAGTAACTAAGTATATTGTGCAAGTTTACTGTGTAATGTGGTTTGCTATCAAGCACTCTGGACAATACAAAGATGCTTGTCTACTCCTATATAAAAATATTCAGTTGGTCAAGCTTCAAGAAAGCAGGATTCAAAGTATCGTTTTTACCAATCTCCAGGGAAATTCATACTGTTGTTTGCAGGAAAATTTTCTTTACTGCATGCTGCAGGATGAAAATATACATATAAGAAATCGAGCTCTTAACCAAATTCTTATAATAAGAAAATTAAAAGAAGACATAACTTTCAAAACTCAGCTTAAACCAAAATCGGTAATGAAAATAAATTTTGATGCTGGTTCTTGGGACTTTCTTGTTTCAGTTGATGAGATTCAAATTGAGCCACCAGCAACATATAGCATTACTTCAGAAAAAATTAGAGAGGCATTTGAATCTGGACAAAAACTTTGCCTAATTGATTTTCCTAACAATTCGCAATCCGTTGAAAGAGCAGTAAAACTAACCTCTGAAGCTGCTAAGCAGGTTTATGGTCTAGAAAAAAGACACAAATTCATTTTGGCAAAGAACCAAAGTCGAAAAGAGAATAAGAGAAATGTAAAAAAAACGTGATTATTTTATAAAATAAATATCTAATTTTGCAATTTTCTGTGCGATTTATTTAAAAACAGCTTGCTATGACAAAGGCTATAAAAAAACATTCTGACTAAGTTGTTTAGTGTTGATGAATTAATATTCATTAAAAATAACAAAGCTACGAAAGATATAAATCGACTGTAAAAAACGTAATAAATGGCTAAAAATTAAATTAGGGCCATATTAAGGTGGGGGCGGATAGGTCTGC